GAGGGGGTAGTAATGGAACGAGACCTGTGTTCTCATTCGCAGTAGTTCCCGTCAGGAACCTATCTGCCGACAAATATTCCGAGCTCTTCCCTTCTCTCTCCCTCTCTCTCTCTCTCTCTCTCCCTCTCTCTCTCTCCCTATCTCTCTCTCCCTCTCTCTGTCATCCGTCGTTCGGAATCAGCCTGCAGCCCGCCGCCCCCTCGACTTACAGACCGTTTAGGTCACAGACGTCCCCCCGCCCCTTTCCCAACCCGACGGCCATCCAAGAAGGAAACCAAAACACGGGACCAAAGTTGGGTCCCCGAAATCGGAAATCGACCCCCTCCCTTCCTTGCCTTCTTGGTGGGCCGGCTGCCCCCGTCGCGCGGCCAGCAGCAGTCTGTCTCTCTCGCACCTATAGGGAAGGCCCCACGAGAGCGAGAGAGACAGAGCGAGTCCGCTGCACTGTCAGGCTGTCGCTGCACCGGAAGCGCCGCCGCCAACTCGAAAGCGTGATTGAGAAGTTTGCGCGGTTTCCGGCTCCACCTTTGTGTCCTCTTATCATCGCGATCGCAATGCCAGACACTTTTATCGAGATGAGGGCACGAAAACACGGCCAACTACAGCGACTGCAGCGCCAGCAGTGCTTCCTCGAAGCATGTAGCCAACTTGGGGGGGTCGCATTAAGCCAGAGCAGTGCCGGCCGAATCAAGCCGAGGAGGGAGGTGGGCAATCCAAGACGATATTACAATCAAGAGCTATTGTGTCACATCCAGACGCTGAGGGGGGCGGCACAAAGATGCAGGCAGGCCGTGTGTGTGTGTGTGTGTGTGTGTGTGTGTGTGTGTGTGTGTGTGTGTGTGTGTGTGTGTGTGTGTGAGAGAGAGAGAGAGAGAGAGAGAGAGAGAGAGAGTGAGAGAGTGTCCGTCTGGGTGTGTTTGTGTGAGTGTGTCGCGCAGAGTGGGTCCTCCTCCTCCGCTTCCAGCCGAGCGCGAGGCACGCCGTGCGGGCACACGCGAAATTTCTGCTTTAATGGAATTTATTTTTGTCCTTGAGTGTATAAGCTGGTGGCGCTGCAGTCGAGTGATGGAGATGAGAGCACAAAGGGGGGAGAAAGAGAGAGAGAGAGAGAGAGAGAGGCTGTCATGGAGATGCCCGGCGCCATATTCGCTGGCCCAACTAGCAACAGTAATCATCGCGCAGACAAAGTCCGCAACTACTTTATAATGCGGTACTTACTTTTTGCCCGCTGCGCTTCCTTCTCTCTCTCTCTCTCTCTCTCTCCCGCTGTCTGTCCGGATGCAGCGCGACGAGGGACGAGGATGGTAGCGCCGCCAGGCAGTCAGGAAGTCGATCCCGGTTTGATGGCCGTGCCGTGCTCTGCTCGTGCCAAGTCTCCTCGTCTCGGCCCAAAAAAGGGGGAGTTTTCGTGTGAATTCTACAACGCCATCCCACTGTTACCGTGGTGGTTTTGTCGGACCACTGTTGCATTGACGTTGACATAATCCCAATCACGCAGGCAGTTAAAAAGTAAATTTATTAAAAAATTACATTTAAAGAAAAAACTGCACCAAAGCCTGGGAGTGCAACGGCTTTGCACACAGCTCTGCCCATTCGTGAGGTATTCGCGATAAATTCGTGCCTCCCACTGATTTAGTCCAGTCTAAAAGCAGAAGCGGTCAAACGCAGGTTTATCATTTACGCGTTTTTAGGCGCGCGGGCCATTTAAAAAAATCTCGTTTACATTACGTACAGTAATGGTAGGAAAGTTCTCCGGCGACAATGCGGCATTGCGGCGGGGCGGACCGCGCTGGCAGCAGGCGGGGCAGACCGAGCTGGCGACACGCTGCCGTCCCCACGAGACCCGGCCAGCCCCGGCCAGCGCACAATACGCCCCTTTGTCCCGCAAAGAAAATGGGAAAATGGGATCCAGGTGAAGTGATCCAAGTTTGGTTCCACGCGCTGGCGGCGCCATGGCGGCTGGGCGCGGACCACTCCCAGCCCGGCTGCCCTGCTGCCCGACGGGTTGGCCGAGCTGCCATGACTTCCCCACGGCTTTATATTTCGGACCGTCGCGCTGCCACTGAGCACCGAGCGACGGGAAACGCACAAATGTTAGTGAAGATTCCTTATATTATAATGGAAATGTTTTATATTATGGTGGTGCAGCTTACTCTATATCATACCAATGAGAAACCACTACACCTTATAGATATTTTGACGATTATTTTTTTTTGCATTATGGAAAAAATCACCATAATATGGTGGTGCAGCCTTTCACCATTAGACATAGTGCAGACCACTCGAGAAAATAAGAAAAACCATCATCAATCGGACGATTATGAAAAATGTACACAGTAAATGTCTTACGGTGAAAGGCTGCACCAACATAATATGGTGGAGATTTTCTCCATAATACCAACGAAGTTCGTCAAAATCTCTATAAGGTACAGTGAATTCTCAATGGTATGTTACGAAGTCAGCTGCACCACCATAATAATGAACATTTTCACCATAATATGGAGAATCTTCACTGTACAACATTTAGAGTATACTCGACTCTTGATAACGAGCCTTCCCTCCACGTTTCCTGCTGCTCAGAGATACTTGGCCGCCCGGACGGCTGGACGGCGGAGCGGAAAAGACTTTTCGCTTTCACGGCTCGAATGAATCAGCAACAGGCCGACTTCTCAAAGTCCAGGGCCGCGCCCGCCTTTCCTCGCCTGTACCAGACATTGAGTGTGTGTGTGTGTGCGTGTGTGTGTGTGTGTGTGTGTGTGTGTGTGTGTGTGCGTGTGCGTGTGTATGAGTGCCCCGCCAGGCGAAACAAAGGGGCGACGGAGGTAGACTCGAAAAAGGAAACTTTGGCCGGAGGCCGATGGAGTGGAAAATTAAATTGCCCAGTATTTTTCGTAGGTACGAGGGGCCCGCGGCAATAAAGGGACGCTGGTCTGTAAACTAGTGCAGGGCCGGGCGCGGCGCGGCGCGGCGGGGCGCGGCGGGGCGCGGCGGGGCGCGGTGGGGCGGGGCGGGGCGGGGCGGGGCGGACACCACAACGACCCGCGGGGACCGGGCGGGGCGGACCATTCCAATGCCAACTCGGCATGCCAATAAGCGGTCACTTTTGGCCGCCTTATTTATGAGTCGGTCCGTCAACCCCGACTTGGCCAACCCAAGCGTGGAGGGCCACGCCGCGCCACGCCGCGCCACGCCAAGCCAAGCCACGCGCGCCCAAATTGAACTGCCCTCCAACTTTCCATTGCCTGTTTTTGTTTTCAATCATTTTTTCGTTTTTCTGTTTTTATTTGATCAATGTTGTTGTCCCTTGTGTGTGTGTGTGTGTGTGTGTGCGTGTGTGTGTGTGTGTGTGTACGGGGTTGCCGGCCTAACAGTGCCCGTTGACCTGTCCGACCCTACTTTAGAGGCAAATTCTATACGGGCGCGGCCTTGTCTGGCGGATGGCCTTCAACTGCCCCTCGATAGCACATCGGCCTGGCCGAGCCTCGCGACCGATGGACCGATGGAGCGTCGCAGATGCTATGCCTCTCCGGCCGTGGCGGTGCGCGGAGGCATAGGGAGTCACGCCACTGGGAAAAAAAAGGGTTGTTTCTTTTTTTTTGTCGACGCAAACAAAATGCCACTCTGTTATTAGACTCTTGCTCTTCGCTCGTGTCGCATCACCCGCACCCTTCCACGCGCCTCGCCACGCAGACAGCCCTGCGGTGTGTGTGTGTGCGAGTCTGTCTGTGTGTGTGTGTGTGCGTGCGTGCGCGTGTTTGTGGGTCTCAGATTCAGAAAGAGGACGCAAAGTCAAACAAGGCTCCCCTAATCCATTTCGCCTTTCGCTCGGCCGAGGCGAGGAAGCCAAGCCTGGCGTACTCTCGATGTCGTCAACGGCGTGCCGAGGAGGAAAGAGGGGGGGGGGGAGGCAACAAATCTAAACTCTGGTGATTCGAGCTCAGACACACCACCGTCGCCTGAGCGCGCGCACACACACACACACACACAATTTTGTTAGCATACTCCCAGTATTAGGAAGTCGTTTTGGCGGATGAGGGCAGACTAAATATATTTCCAAAATATAGTTAATATCCTCCTGACTTCGTTTTGGCGAAGGCAAAACAGCGTGTCAATTGTCCTGGACGTAGAGAGAGCACCTCTATCGAGATTATGCCGTTTTTATTTTTACAGTGGGACAGGCGTCCGCGTGGTTTTTCCCCGACTGTGTGAAGTGGACGAGACAGTCAGAGGCTTTGTCCACTCCAATCAGTGACACTAAAAAAAATCCGATAAGCCACTCCAACGTCGTTTAATTGTGCTTTCCTTCGTCGCCGTCCCCGCGGTCCCCGCGCGCGGAGTGGCACAGAGTGCCAACCTGAACTTCGGTAAACATGCTGATGTTCAAACTTGGATAGTCTCCGCGAAGAAGGAGGCCGAGGGGGGGTGGGACAGTGGAGCCCGCGAGGGGAGGAGGGCGGAAATCTTCCGTTGGCAATTTCAAGGATGCTTTTATGGCATTGTTTGTCTGCCAGTTTGGCTGGGGCTGCGCGCCGTGCCGTGCCACGCCCTGCCGCGCCGTGCCGCGCGATGAAGACGAAGGCACTCACTCCCCTGCCTTCACACCTCATTCTGTTTGCAACTCCCAACTCGGTGACACTATAGTCGTCACTTCTACCGACCTCAACTTGTCTAATCGGGTCTCACCTCCCCACGGTTTGCGCGCTAGCTCCATTCTGCTGCCGCGAGACAAATAATGAAGTCTCCTCACTCTAAATGTTGCACAGTGAAGATTTTCCATATTATGGTGAAAATGTTCATTATTATGGTGGTGCAGCTGACTTCGTAACTTACCATTGAGAATTCACTGTACCTTATAGGGATTTTGACGATTTTCGTTGGTATGGAGAAAATCTCCACCATATTATGTTGGTGCAGCCTTTCACCGTAAGACATTTACTGTGCTCTGCTCGCAAAAGACACGAAACGTGGAACAAATAAACGACTTTGTTTTTGATTGGCAGGTGTCCTGGGTGCGGCACCGCGACATCCACCTGCTGACGGTGGCGCGGTACACCTACACCAACGACCAGCGGTTCCGCGCCACCCACAACGCCATGAGCGACGACTGGATGCTGCAGCTCAAGTACCCGCAGCACCGCGACGCCGGCGTGTACGAGTGCCAGGTGTCCACCACGCCGCACCTCAGCCACTTCATCCACCTCAGCGTCGTCGGTCAGTAGCCAAAACATTTTTTTTTCTTAGAGAAAAATTGTACAGGACTCGACTTAAACCCACCAATGGAGTCCTCGTTCCGTAACCTTCACCGCCCCACAGTAGGCCAGAAGACCGGTGGAGACGGCCGAAACTCGAGACGCGTTTTGATGTCCCAGAGTCGCTATCCCAGTACCTGGCACTCGAACCGAACAAGTGACCCCACCAATGGATTCCTCGTTCGAAGAGCAATCCATTGGTGGGGTCACACGTTCGGTTCGAGTCCCATTTAGCGACTCTGGAGCTCAAACGGCGTCCGGGATGTTGACCGTCTCCACCAGTCTTCTGGCCCACTGTGCGGTGCCGCGGCGTTGTCTCCGAGCCAAGGGCCACTGCCGGCCAAGTCTGCCGCCTGCAGAAGCGACGGTCGCCTGGCCCGCAGCGCACGGCTGCCCCGCACAGTGCCTACTCACTCACCCCGGCCCGGGGCTGGCTGGACCCCTACACTGCATGGTCGGAGCGTCGCTGCGGGAGAAAAACTGCAGAATCAAGTGGCCTTAACGAATTAATGCCCTGCGCACTCTCTGCTCTTGTTGTTGTTGTTTGTTTTGGTTGGTGCTTTGCAGTGTTTTGCCCAACTTGTTGTTCCCCGAGCGTTCTGCCGCGCTGCCGCGCCGCGATAGAAAAACACGAGGAGAGCGGTCAGGCAGGGCGCGCGGCGGAAAAAAAAGCGAGGGCGGCTGTTTTATTTATTGCAGTGTAGTGAGATACGGTGCAGTGTCGATAATAATACGCATTGTTCGCCTTATCATAACTTGTCCAGTCTGGGTGGGGAAAAAAAACTGCAGCCGATTTGGTGGGGGTTGAACCCGGGCCACCCGCGTGGCCGGCTGGCTCGCTGTGCGCGACGCTGTGCGTTCTAGGTGCCGAGGCGCCCAGGAGGAGGTGGCCTGCGTCGTGGGCCAGCACCGCCGCACTGCGTGCCAATGGCTCGGAAGCCGGGGAATCTAGTCTAGATTCTGACCGGGCCGATACCCCTTCTCTCTCTCTCTCTCTCTCTCTCTCTCTCTCTCTCTCTCTCTCTCTCTCTCTCTCTCTCTCTCTCTCTCTCTCTCTCTCTCTCTCTCCCCCTCTCTCTCTCTCTCCCTCTCTCTCCCGCCCCAAATGTGTAATCACCCGCCACATTCCCCATACCACGGCACTCACGCCGGGGCACGAGCCCCACGGCCGCGAGGCGAGGTGGCTCTCGGACGCAGCCCCCGCCTGGCGCGCGCTCGCACATTCCCGATGCTTCCCCCCCCCCCTTTCTGGCGAGGGGCGTTATAGGGGAGGGGGGGGGCCTCCTCCCGCTGCTGATGGCCGTCCACGCCGTACAAAAGGCCTATTGTTGCGGCTGAGCTGCCGGGCTGGTGCCCCCGGAGCCCCGGAACCCCGCCGGACATCGCATCGCGCCTCCCGGCACTCCTCGCTCCCTTCTTCTTCTTCTCTTTCTTCTTCTTCTTCTTCTTCTTCTTCTTCTTCTTCTTCTTCTTCTTCTTCTTCTTCTTCTTCTTCTTCTTCTTCTTCTTCCCCTCCTCCTCCTCCTCCCCCTCCTCCTCCTCCTCCTCATCCTCCTCCTCCTCCTCCTCCTCCTCCTCCTCCCCTCCTCCTCCTCCTCCTCCTCATCCTCCTCCTCCTCCTCCTCCTCCTCCTCCCCCTCCTCCTCCTCCTCCTCCTCATCCTCCTCCTCCTCCTCCTCCTCCTCCTCCTCCTCCTTATGCTTCTCCTCCTCCAATTCCCGATAGAGCCAAATAAGCAGAGGAGGCAAACGCAACGCAGCGAGAAAAATTTATTCACTCATTCATGCATTCATTCATTCTTTCTTCTTAGCTGCTAGTCGCTGCGTGTTTTTTTTTTCATTTTTTCTGTATTTCTCACCCATTTCTATGCATTCATGCCGTTGTTGGTGCCACTGCCGCTAGCTGCACCGCTCGGGGAGTACCAACCCAACGTGCCGACCGGGCGGAACGGATGAAGCGGGAATGAAAGCCAACGGACTCTTTCGGTCTCCGCGGTCCCTCGCGTGCGCCGCCGGTTGGAAATATTGTTCGACACGAATTTGCATCTCGGCATCGATGAAATCTCAACACCGCCAGACCCGCTTAAAGTGACTTATCACACCGAAATTTCAAAATTTTCCTCAAAATTTTTTTTGTTGGCGTAGTACTTTTTTGGGGGGGAGGGAGGGAGGTTCAGTTGTCAATGATGGATCCGCCGCCTGTCCGCCGCGCTGCCGCCGATGGCGTGAGCTGAATGCAAAGCGCGCGCAAAGTTGAACCGTCGCCTGCTCGGTCTGTCCGGCCATGGTCCGGCCTAGGTCCGGCGCGGACTACGCGGACTCGTGCCGACCGGACTTTGCAAACAGGAAGAACGATGCGACGCGGGGAGCACTCGCATGTGGGGCCAGAGCCACAGTGGGCCAGAAGACCGTGCAGGCGGCCAAAACTCTAGACGCGTTTTGATGTCCCAGAGTCGCTAACCAGGACTCGAACCGAGCGTGTGACCCCACCAATGGATTCCTCGTTCGGAGAGCAGTCCATTGGTGGGGTCACACGTTCTGTTCGAGTCCCATTTCGCGACTGGAACTCAAAACGCGTCCAGAGTTCGGCCTTTTGGCCCACTGTGCAAGCGTTACGTCCTTCGTGGACGCCCCCTTACCGCACACGTGTTTCCACGGCGCGGGTTTTTCCCCCGGCGGGCCACGCCACTGGAAAGTAGTGAGGCCGTACCAACCTACGCACGCCTGGTTATGCATCACGCTGCTGAATTTTTCATGACGGTACCCCTGAACCTGTCAACAGTAAATCTTGGAGGAATTTCTCTCGAGGAGGGGTTCGTTGCGTAGCTGCCCTTTTCATGCGTGAGGCCACCAGCCAAAAAAACGGATGTTGTACCACTCGCCCATGATCATTTCATCAGCTACTAGTGGATCACACCAACTGCTGCAAACACCACCCCTTTCGGCGTGGCGCCACCCACCGTGGTGTCTCTGTAGAGGCTGCTCGCCCTGCCCCGGTCACACACCAAGGTCGCTAAATTCCAGGAGGCGGCCCGGAGCGTGTAGTAAAAGTTGTAACGTTAATGAGAACGCAAATTGGGGTAGTGTTGGTCCACTGTTAAAAACACTGTGTTTGCTGCGCTGCTCTCCCCCCGAGGCTCACCTGTAGCGGCAGAGGGAACGTGTTATGATTCTAGCGGTATGACCCATTACTACCATCTACCGTAACGGCTTTGGGGATTGCAAAGCCCTCTCCCTTCCCTCTCTTTTTATACAGCCGCCCCTCCCCCTCTCGCTGTCCGACCGGCTTCGCCGCTTCGCCACAGCGACGCTTGTACTGCGGCGCACTTGTTGCAGGAAACCACTTTTCTCTGTCGCTGCGATATTGCAAGGACAGCATTATTTCATCCCATAATGTCGCCTCACACTGACCCTTTCAATTGCGCCGCTTTTCACAATATTTTCTCTCCGTCTCCTCCTTTTGTTTTCAATCAATTTGTCTCTTTCTTTGTGTCGAGGCAATGCAAACTGAAGCCGATTGGTTTCAAACTGCCCTTGTGCATCCTGGTCGAAAACAAAGTCACTCTGTTTGTTTTGTTCCATTTTACTCAGCCTTTTTTTGTCAAAAATAAATGAATTGGAGATAGAGACAAACGCAGCGGCACTAACGGATCCAGAGAGATGCCTCTCCATGGCGTGGCGAAGGCCAGTGAAGGTCAGGCAGGTGAGGCTTGCCAATTAGACGCAGTGTTTTGTCTCGGTAATAAATTAGGCCTAAACTCTAATTTAATTTTCCTCCTCCTTGTTCTTCTTTTTTTCGCTGTGTTTCGTCTTTTCTTCCTCTCTGACCCCCCGCAAGGATTGCAACAACGGGGCCCCTCGCCGGGCCTCCCTTTCCTCTAATTTTTCGATTAACGGCTCGACAGTCAGCACAACGCCGCCTCCCCCGGGGACGGATTGGAAGCACGACACGCAGTTGTCGACGTGGCACACGTTTCACGGACGGTCCCCGGCGAGGCCCATCTCTCTCTCTCTCTCTCTCTCTCTCTCTCTCTCTCTCTCTCTCTCTCTCTCTCTCTCTCTCTCTCTCTCTCTCTCTCTCACACACACTTGAAGCCATTTCCCTTCACTCTGTACGACGTCCTTCATTTTCTGCTCTCACGTCCGTCTCGCCCTCGTGTGTGTGTGTGTGTCTGTGTGTGTGTGTGCGTGCGCGCGAAAGTGCGAGTGCGGCTTTCAGTAATGCACTCTACGACGTGTCACCTGAAGTGCCTGGGGCCTCGCGATGTTCTTACTACCTGCCGCCCCTGCCGCCACTCTGGTAGTGGAAGAGAATACTTTGCCTGGAACGGCGTAACCGCGAGGAGGAGAGTACCACGAGAGAGAGAGAGAGAGAGAGAGAGAGAGAGAGAGAGAGAGAGAGAGAGAGTGAGAGAGAGAGAGAGAGAGAGAGAGAGAGAGAGGGAGAGAGAGCAGGCCCAGAAAGGGAGGGGCGTCGAGGTCGAGAGCACGGCCTGCGAGCGTGGCGCCGGGTGGCCGCCAAAATTAGAGGAAAAAAAACATCCGAGAAAACAACCAAAAAAAGCAAGTTTTTGGCACTTGTGCGCGCGTGCCAGGCGGCCGGATTCGTGGTGTGTGATACCCTTTGCGCCCCGAATTTGAGAAGTGGCCGTCAGGGCGCGCGTGCGTCCAATTTAGGGCCGGCCCGCTTTTTCTTTTTGTCATTCATTTACTTTTTATTTTCTTCGCTGCTTTTTAACGAAATAATTACTTTGAAGCGTTTCCACGAACTGTGTCGCGGCCGGAGAGGCCGAAAAACCGCAGTACTACCCTGTGAAAAAACAATATTTTCGTTGCAACGGTACTACGTTGGAATTTTACAGCGATCGGTTTTCAAAGGTATAAAGTATGCAAGGTTTCTGAAACTCTTTTTCTTCTCCACGTTTCATTTAATTTCTTTGATGCCCAACCTGAAACCCTCCCT